ACCTCTACAGCTACGGATGCATGTTACTCCTAGTCACAAATTGATTCTTCAAAATCAATTTTGTTAGTACTTCTTTGCCTTTATTTAGATGTGTTTTATTTAATTTTACTTTGAATATATTTTCATTTTTTTGGAAAGCACTTTAAAATTTTTTCATATTCTTTGGCCATTTGTCGGGGTAACCCAGTTGGGTCCGGTTTAACCGAGCGAGTCTGTCTAATATTGGTTGCATCATTTTCTCTTTTTTCTATGCACTTGTACAAGGTTTTGCACATATTTATAGAAGCCTCTTCTCTCTATATAATTCCCAATGTAGGTCTATGTAAAATGCTCTAGAATCCTTTTAATTAAGAGGGAACAATAGAGGATCAGATAATAAACATTAGAAGGCTTATGTTATGGTGTGAAATGGTATTGGGCTTTAAAGTCAATTTTGAGAAAACTGCAATAGTAGGGTTAGAGTGTTCAGATGTTACTTTAAACAGGTTAGCATATCATATGCGGTGTAAAATAAAAAAATTTCCTATCACTTATCTTGGAATGCCTATCTCAAATGGGAGGTTGCCAAAATCGGTGTTGGATCCAGTGCCACAAAGAGTGAATACAAAGTTGAATTTGTGGAAGGTAAAGCACCTCTCTTTAGAGGGGGGAGAAACTTTGATCCAAGCATTGTTGTCAAATTTACCAATATACCAAATGTCTTTCATAGTTATGCCAAGTCCAGTTGGCAAAAGAACTGAGCAGCTGATACATAAGCTTTTGTGGGGATCTGGAGATTATGGGAATAGATATCATTTGGTTAGTTGGGAAAGGATTTGCATGCCCAAATGTGAGGGTCGGATGGGGATCAGAAAGCTAAAATACGTAAATCAGGCACTGTTAGCTAAATGGTGGTGGAGGATAATGAGCGGAGATATGATGCTTTGGAAAGATATCCTTATAGCTAAATATAAGGTGGATCAGAGTAATCTATGGGTGGGAAGCGGGGAAAGAGATAATCTCAAATCTTCAATTTTGGAAAGGAATCCTACAAAATAAGATTTTCATGTTAAGTTGCTATAGATGAATAATGGGAAACAGAGATAAGATATCATTCTGAAATAGCAAGTGAGTGGGAGATTGCAGTTTAAAAACGGCATACCCTCTGGTTTTTAAGGGAACAAATCAACAATCAATAACAGCATCCCAGGCTTATGATGTGGAAGAAAAAGCATGGACGGTTAATTGTAGATATAATTGAGTGCTGGATTCTTCTATAGAGCAATATACGGGGCTGCTGAGAGATATAGATTAAATGAAACCTTATCAGGAAAGGGAAGATGAGTTCCTGCTGGAAGTTGAAGGGACGTAATTTTTTCGGTTAAATCAACGTATAGTTTACTCTTTACAAAATCCAAATTTTCTTGTGGATATTGTTTCAAGGGAAGACGCTAACTATAGATAACATTATCAAAAGAGGAAGCGTTGTCACGAATGTTTGCATTTTTTGTAAGGAAAGTGATGAGACTGGAGATCATCTTTTCTTACATTGTAGTTATTCAATTCATCTTTTCGATGGTGATGGCAAATAACCATGTGAATATCATAGATTGCTTAAGTATGGATTATCTCCCACAGGTTGGAAAAGTATTGTGGGAGATTATTCGAGTGTGGGAGGTGTGGATGGAGTGAAATAGGAAGATTTTTTAAAATACAGCTCGATATATGGATATGGTTAAAAGAAAGATTATGCAATTGATCTGGAGTTGGTTTTCGACAACCAAGGAAGGGTTTGGAGTATCTAGAGTGGATATTGACATTAATCTGAATAATTTGGTGCTTCAAAACTTTGTAAAAGTGAGACCAAAAGGGAAATGGTTGCCACTAGTGGAGAGGAATATGAAACTAAATTTTGATGGAAGCTCTAATGGGAATCCAGGACCGGCTGGTTCTAGAGAGATTCTGCATAATGCAAAAAGAGAAACGATGTTATAATATGCTGGATCATGTGGAGAGACTACGGCGAATGAGGTAGAAATGGAGGCGCTGGAGAGAGGATTACAATTGATGGTAGAAAGGAATGTTCGCATGCCTTATATCATTAAAGGAGACTCACTGGATGTCATAAGTTGGTGTAATATGACAGCAAGACCACCATGGAACTTAAGGAGAAAGTGGATGAAGATAATAGACCTATTCAAGGGAGTTGAAGTTCAGTTTCAGCAAGTGTACAGGGAGGCAAATGACGTTACAGATGGCTTGGCAAAACGAGTGACTTTGCAGAGTGTTGTTATTTCTCATACGATTTTTTGTTGAAAGTTTGAAATTCCCAAGTGAATAATAAAGTAATCTTGTCCCAAAAAAAAAAAAAGTACAGGTTCCCCCAAAGAGAAGAGCAGACGAGTAAGTATCGTTATCTACATGTAAGTTGTCTAGTATTTTGGCCTAAAAGCATATATATCTAGATACA